ATAATAATGATAATAATAATAATAATTATTATTGCTAAATATTTTATGATTTTAATATAATTTAAAATGCTATTATTTTAATAAATGCTAATATTTTAAAATAAAAATAAATAAATAATAAATTAAAAATGTTAAGTGAAAATAAAAGCCCAAATAATTATACACATTCAGTATCAGTCTCATCAGGGAAACAGCAATAATTATTCTGACAATAATAACTATAGTAATAATACTACAACTACTAATAAAATGATAAATGTTTAAAGTATTGAAAGATATTTCTATTACTTTAATGTTTTAAATGTTCTTAAATAAAATAATAAGAATAATAATAATAAAAATTAGTGAAAATAAACGCCCAAATATTATATGAATTCAATATCGGGCTGTCATAAACTGATACAACTAGTTTGAAGGCATCTTCTTAGGATTATCAAGTTATGAAAACACTTCTAACACAGATTAATAGTACTGATGAATAATACCAATATAATAGCCCAAATATTACATGCATTCAACACTGGCCTAGTCAGGTCAATAGCAATAACTGCAGATAATTGGTAAAATATTGGTCGAACACCGATACACATCATTTGTAGGCATCTGCTTAGGATTGACATGCCTTTTTTGAATTCCTCCAGCATTGCATCCAGCTTGGTGTCATTAAACACAAAATGCAGAGGATGGTTGTAGAACTTGGTGATGGTGGTCATGGGAGTGCGGTCCTCCGGGTCAACCAGCGCCAGGTCTTTGACGTACAGGATTTCGATGATATTGGACCTCTCCTCCTCGTACACCGGGACGCGAGTGTAGCCGCTCTGCATGATCTCGGACATGGTGTTGAAGTCCAGCACGGCCGTGGAGGGCAGCATGAAGCAGTCTTTCAGGGGGGTCAGGATGTCCTCCACGGTTTTGGTCCTGAGAGCGCCTTTACTGAACTCCACCTTGACGAACTCATTATACGGATCGTTCACACTAGTCCGAATCATTTCCATGGTTTTCTCACGGATGCCCACGGTGCTCACGTCCCGGTGCAAGATCAAGTCCAGCAGGAGGCCGAGAGGACAAGAAAGTGGACACGTCAGGATTAGACAGATCTGGGCCAGCCATATCAAACCCGGTGCCATCTGGAACCCATAACCCGAACATACAATATGAGGAACCAGCTCAGCCAGGAGGAATATGAGGAAGCCACTAGTGAACACAGAGGGCACGATGGAGCCATAGAGGCGGTACAACAGAGGAATATGAGGAAGCCACTAGTGAACACAGCGGGCAGGATGGACCCATAGAGGCAGTACAACAGGACGCCGAACACCGAGTGACCCAAAGCACAAATGAACAAGAGCGAACAAACCAGAACGTTTCCTCTCCTCCGGATGGGCTTGAGGCGCTTGGCCGCCCGCTTTTCATCCTCCGAACCGCAGCTGTGCAGAACATACAGCTCCAGTGGGTCCAGCCACAGCAAACTCAGATTCACACATCTGACCACACTGCAAACCAAAACCAGAAGCACAACCATCAAAATCAGACCCCATAATGGAATGTAATCTGATGGCACTTCCGGGTTCTTAATAACCAACTTGTCCGACCCGACAGAGCCCCACGCCTGGCCCTTTAAGACGCAGAAATGATGGAGCACAGGCTCTGCATCTTTATTCTCCGGTTTGGATGCTGCAGCTTCGGTTTGGACTTCTATAATCCCGCTGTTCTCGTCATCCGACGTGAACGCTCCGCGTAACCGGAACGCAGAGGAGTTGCGGCGTTCCTCCAGCGCGCAGGGGTCAACCGAACCGCCTCCAGCCGCGGCGAACGCGACCCACGGCCAGGTCTCATTGGACAGGTAGGACCCAAACAATCTGAGTTTGAAAGTGGTCCCGTGCGGAGCTACGATGACCCGTTCGCGCATGAACACCCGCTCGGTAACGTCCTCCAGGCGCAGTCCGTAAACCTGCGTCTCTTGAAGGCTGCAGGTTCCGAACCCGCAGAGGAACAATATGATCAACGGGAGACGCAGCTCCGCCAAGCTGACCACCATATTGGAACAGGGCAGCCTGGCTTTATTAATCATGTGACGCTGATGTTGTTGCTGCTACGCTACCCTCCTACTTTTTCAGTTGTTTTCATATAAAACGGTGAGGGAAACTGGCTTGGTCCGGCCGCCATGTTGGCTCCGAGATTCTTGAGAAACAGGCACGGACTTGCCCCAGAACTCTGGAGCCACAATGAACGCAGTTTCTTTTTTTTTTTTGCACTGCCGCTACGTCGTGTCCATAATGGACCAATGACAGAAGAGCAAGTGCTCGCTTGACCAATCGGAGAACGGGCTGGCTTTGTAAACCACGCCCACAAGGGTACTGAAGACCTTCAGCGTGTGAGATTAGCATCTTCTCAAGGCTCTTTGAAAAACAAACGGTTTTATCTGGCTAAAAGCAGTTTTTTAAACATTCACAGCTTTTATATGAATCTAGCGATTAGGTTAACAAAGAGAGAGTTAAAAACGAACCGTAATGTATTACACCTTGCAAAAGTTTTACCTACAGTTTTTAATTGGAATAAAAGCAATATCACAGACTGAGCAAAAGAGGTGTTTTAATAGAGAAATATTTAGATTTAGCATTTATCAGAACTCGACAGAAATCAAAATATTATATACAGATTGCTTTAAATACGACCGTGTTCATGGGAAGTACAGTACATCTGCGTTTGCATTTCCCTTCGAAGAAAGCAACTTAAGAAAAAACGAAAAGCGTACAGTTCGTTGTGATGTTTTAAAAAGCAAATATGACTAAAATAACTAACCCCGCTTACAATACAAATCATGGAATAATTTTTCTGTATTTCACATGGCTTTTTAATGGAAGACAGTGTGTTTTCACTCTTTATAGTGAACCCAAAACAAAGTGTGCTTACTTAATATGCAATACAATACCCTGAACTGTTTGAAAGGCCAATATAGGTCATGACCCTGAAAAGTAAATAAATGCAGACGCTTCGTGAAAACACACATTTATAATCTTTAACTGTGGTCTAATTATCAAACAGGAGACCCTGCACAGCACCTCTCCCGTTGAGTTCCTCAGGAGAAACTACCATGAACATTAAAAGCAGATTACTGAGCTGGATTGAAATCCCAGCACCACACGCTCAAAGGAATTTAATTAGTTCCCCACAGAGTCCCTGTGCAACAGAGAGAGGAACATGGGCATTAATGGACAAATCAAAGTGCAGAAGGCTTTGGCTGTTGTGTTCACTCACAAATTTAATTCCATGTAGTGTTGCAACTTTGGTCATGATATAACATGTTATGCCTCTAGTACAGTGTTTGAGTGCAATGCCCACATTTTGGTTTAAGTTGAAGTAAATACTAGTCAAATTTCACATACAAGAAATGTCAGTTGAGGTAAAATGCAACTTATTTCTTCTCTCACTGTGCAACTGTACATTAAACATCTTAAAAAGACAGACCTATTTATTGCTTCATATTTAAATCTCTCGTAAAAGGCAACAAAACATTTATAAATAACTTATAAATCATCATACACTAGTTGGACAAAGTCAAATTCATACTGTTCAATGAGAAAACATAAATAATCAAATCTAGTGCTATTCTTCTCCGTAATTATTTCTAATACTCTGTAACTCTCACTGGGATATTTTTTTACAATTGATGAAATAAAAGAACACTTTAACACTGAACGCTTTATGCATGCACTGCACGGCGTACTTACAGTATGAATACATCAGAATAAGGTTTAAATATGGTTTCTGATGTCAGCTCAGCATGAGAGGAACACAATGGAAAAATCACTGTGTGACTTCCGAAACGTGATCTCTGTACAGAACCGGCTTTATGGTCACTGCAAGTAGATGTAGAAAAGCTTAAGTTTGTTAAAGGAGCAGTTTGCCCAGAACTAAAAATTTGCTGGAACTTTCTTCATCAGAAAACAGATTTGGAGAAATGTAGCATTACATCACTTGCTCAACCAATGGATCCTCTGCAGTGAATGGGTGCCGTCAGAATCAGAGTCCAAACAGCTGATAAAAACATCACAGTAATCCACACCACTCCAGTCCATCAATTAATGTCTTGTAAAATGAAAAGCTGCTTGTTTCTAAGAAAATGTTTGGACTCTCATTCTGGCGGCACCCATTCACTGCAGAGCATCCATTGGTTGAGCAAGTGATGTAATGCTACATTTCTGCAAATCTGTTCTGATGAAGAAACAAACTCATCTACATCTTGTATGGCCTAAGTCGCGTACAAACAAGCATGAGAATCAAAACGAATGTACAGTTTCACTCCAGTTCACAGTGAATTCTGTTCCAGCATCTGTATCGTCTGCTTCCGAGGATGGGAATGCTGGTGCAAAACAGCATTTGTGTTGTTTGATGGACAGTCGTAGGCTTTGAGATCAAGAACTGGGTAAATCTTACAAGAACCTCAGGTCATATTTCACCTCCAAATCAAAATGAAAATCAATATGTAATAAGGACCATTAAGATTTTTTGCATTGTGATACTATTTTTATATTTTCATTAGTATAAAGTGAAAAATAAATATATATTGTGAAGTATTTATACATTATGGTGCATTTGTATGGATTTAAAACCTTTTTTTATAATTAAAATGAACAAATAATTGTAGTACAGTAATACATGTCTACTGAGAATCATTGAGAATACTGAGAATTATGAGAATTTGTGAAGAAAATGTGCTGAATTCTCATAAAAAATAATGCATAATATGATGCAAAAAAATCTTAATGGTATAAACAGGCTTTATTTGATCAAATTAATTTTGTTGTGAAATATAACTAATGTTTTTGTGAGATTCATCCGTGGGGATGAATTATAATTGTCAAAAAATAAAAATAAAATACAAAATATTAATCAAATATACATACATACTACTTTAGACAAAAAATAAATATTAATATATAAATAAATTATTATATAATATTTTGAATCATATATCACAGATTTGGATTTGCAATGCTCAATGTTTTGTTCTAACTGGCCACGTGGGGTTCTCCAAACCCTAGCTGCGTCAGCAAATTTCACGTCTCCAAACTATATTTACAGTTCCCCTTCACGTTTGTCACGCAGAGCTACGATTGCGTCACATACAGCTACATCACGTAGCCACACTTGGCTTGATGCTTTCGACTTCGAAAGAAAGCGGTCAAAATCATACAGCACTACACAGCATGAAAACTAGACCAGAACGGTCTTTGTGCTAAAAGGATAGTTCAGTCCAACAATAGCTTATGAGACTCAAAGTGCTCTTATGCTCAAAATCTCAGAAAAACAGCACACAGATGTTAGCCGCTGGGTCAGAGACATTATAAAAAGTGCATATCGTACAATAATTCTGTTAGATACTGATGAAGTGTTGTATAATGCCTTTAAACGGTATTTGTGGCATACCGAACACACTTGTATGCCGAAAGCTTTGAGAGAGTGTCTACATGATTAGCATGCAATAGCAGACATACAACAGTCTGCATGACTACACACCTCAGGGTGCGAACTACGGGGGAGCTCGGCTCCCCTTAATAAGACAAGGGCTCCCCTGAAAACGAGATTTGTGAAATTTTGGGGGGTCTCAAAAAATATTGACAATGTGTTATTTTGACGTGCAATTTCAGTTTTGTGTAATGTGATCGTGGATTATTATGTGTAAAATTGCAAAAATATCATTCATTCATGCATGACGGCGATTTAAACCTAATTAACTTCAATAAAGATAACTATACATGCTATTCCTGTCATGAGCATCAAGGTGTGGGGGCACTGCAGTGCAAATTCCACTCATGTTTAGTACATGTTAACTCAAAGATTCGTAGAAAAAAAATAAACGCTGGGCTCTGTCGTCGATTCTGTGTTAAGGTAAGGCATGAAATTCGCAATTATGTGTTGTGGCTGGGTTGTTATAGGTCTGCGTGACTCTCGATGTCTTAGGCCTAACTGAACGGAGGAATTATGGTATTCTTCTGTAGCCTGACGACGAGTAACTTTAACCGTTGTTCATGTGAACTCAAAGACAGCCTGATGCTTTGTTTATAGACTATTTGTGGGTGGCTGTTTGTTGTTTCACCTATCAATTCGTGTCGATAAAGTATAATAGGGTAAATCCTGTATAGTGATTTATCCTATATAGTGCTTGCATAAAGCAAGTAGTGCATACAAAGATACATAACAGCTAAGTTACAAGTGTAAGTCATTGTAAGCCCTCGAACTTGTATATCAGTTAGCAATCCCAAGAATTTATAGATTTAAACGATTAAGTTAGACCTATTTTTTTGTGCTTTCTGAGCCCCGTGCGCCCCCAAGCGTACGACCCCTCATTGTGCATAGTTATTAAAGTCAAATGCAACAATGTTAATGAACTAGTTTTTACTCATGTTTAAGATAAATTGTATAATAATCTTTATAATCGTTCGCTATATTACACACACACACACACAAGTGGGCTCCCCCAAAGTCCACGGTATAGTTCGAACACTGCACCTCGACGTCGGGCCGAACCCGCAGCCCCTAGAATCACAGTGAGATCACGTCCAATGCTGAAGACCATGCACCTATTTTACTACACCTCAGTCCGCTGCATCGCTCAGTGTATTTGTGCTTGTGGTCAGCTCTGGAGCTCTCGGAGCCCCAGATTATTGTTGTCAAATGGTGCTCTCGGTGTGCGCGTGCGTGAAGGTGTGCGTGCGATGCGCCTGAGGGTTGGGGAGCGGCGTCGGGCTGCTGTTGGAGTTGGCGTTGGTGTTCAGGTGTGACTGGTTCTGAGGGTGGATGTGGCTCGGCCGGCGTTTGGACAGGCTGTTCTTGTCGTTGAGCAGCGAGGTGGTCTCGTCTGGCCCGTTCTCTCTGGGTGCCGGCGGCGCTGTGGTGTGGTTCGTGGTGGAGGACATGGGAGGGGTCAGGGGCGGAAGAGGGCCGGGATCCAGGCGGATATGGCTGCTCTCTGGGGACTGGGGCGTGCTGTCCAGTTTTGAAGCCAGGAGGCCGTTTTGGTACTGCGAACGAGTGACCTGAGAAAGAAAAAAGGTAATTAATCAAATGCTACTGCTCAGTTTTTTTTTTGGAAAGAAAATTTTTTTTTTTATCATCAAGGACTCAATCCTATTCAACTGATCAAACGCGAGTAAATATTTTTATGTTGCAAAAGATTCAATAATAATAAATGCTGTCATTTCTATTTCTAGTTTCCACAAAAGTATTAAGCAGCACAACTGTTTTCAACATAATTAATCATACAAAATGCACAAATATTTCATTTGATCCCACTAACTCAGCACACCATCGTTAGTATTTGCCGATACTACATTCCACTTTTTCTGAAAAAATAAATAAATAAATAAAAAATAGGCAAAAATATTTACAATTAAATAACTAAATATTCAAGCAAAAATATGTAAAAAAAAAAAAAAAAAAAAAAAAAAAAAAAAATATAAGTTATATGTAGGCTATATATAATAAACTATTATAATGTGTTATGGCTATGAATAATGCGATAAAACAATAAGCTTACTCTGTAAGAATAAATGAAGGTAAATTCTGATTAAACATGAGCTGTAATAAAGCTTGCTGGTCTAAGTGCAGGTCGATCAAATGTCTGGTGTACCTCTGATGTTCTGAGCCTGAATCTAGCCGCTGTGTGAGAGTTTGAGTCAGATGCACTAATCACCTCCGCTGTACCGTGAACCCAGTGCTCGTGCAGCTGCCTAACCAGACCTCATGTTTGGGCGAACGATGCCCACAGCCGCTCAGAAGTGCTGTCTATAGGTAGACAGTGACACATAAACGCTGACTGCACAAACCAAGAGTCCAGTAAAAACTCCTGTTGAGGTACTCGATACAAACAAACGGCGTAAAGCATGAGAATCCAGTGCAGACGCAGAGCGCGATGGAGACGGAAAGCCGCTGGCGCTCAGCGCGACGCAGCGCAGAATAAAGTGACTGTAGCTCGTTACCTGTCGTGTTCCTGCGCGGAGACAGAAATGCTGCGTGAGATGCATAATAATAAAATATTACGTTAATACTATTACTAATATTACTATTACAATATTATATTACTAATATTACACACATGCATATAGATAGCTAGATAGATAAATAGATATAAACAAAAACGCATATACAAGTTTGTCAAAATATTAATAATATTAATAATTAATATTAATAGGTCTTGACTGACTATATTTGAAAATATTGACATCTCAATTAAATATTAAAACAACAGAACAACTGCACTAATAATTATATACATACACATATATATATATATATATATATATATATAAGAATAATTCCTGAATTGTCATGTGACTGGCGTAATAATGCAGAAAATTCTTTAAATTATTTAAATATATTAAAATAAAAAACTTTAACATTAAACAAAAAACTTTAACAATTTACAATTTTAAATTGTAATAATATTTCATAATATTACTATATTTTTTATTAAATAATTGTTGCATTTGTGAGCATAATAGACTTTAAACTGTCTACTGTAGACACTCACTGTTCAGACATAACTTTGATAGTTATAATTTTGAAAACTAAGCATAATTAAAACAATTATATCAATTTTTTATGTCTAACACTAGAGAGCAGATTGACCTGATACAAATCAGATATAGCCTATACAGTATCTATCTATCTATCTATCTATCTATCTATATATACACATATGTGACCCTGGACCACAAAACCAGTCATAAGGGTATAGGGTATAACAGTCATTATACATAATCTGAAAGCTGTATAAATAAGCTTTCCATTGATGTATGGTTTGTTAGGATAGGACAATATTTGGCCGAGATACAACTATTTGAAAATCTGGAATCTGAGGGTGCAAAAAAATCTAAATACTGAGAAAATCACCTTTAAAAGTGTCCAAATTAAGCTCTTAGCAATGCATATTACTAATCAAAAATTACATTTTGATATATTTACGGTAAGAAATTTACTAAATATTTTCATGGAACATGATCTTTACTTAATATCCTAATGATTTTTGGCATAAAAGAAAAATCAATCATTTTGACCAATACTATGTATTGTTGGCTATTGCTACAAATATACCTGTGATACTTATGACTGCTTTTGTGCTCCAGGGTCACATATATAATAGTTTAGTTTAGTTGCTTTAAAAACAGCTGAAGTAAAGTCAAGCTTCAAAAAGCATCATAAAAACAGTCCATACAACTTGTGCGCTATTTTTCAAGTCTTCTGAAGTCAAACACACACTTGTGTGAAGACCAGACTGAAACTTTGTTGTTGATGGACATAACGTACCTTCACATACTGCAGGTCAGTGAGGGCCCACATGTTAAAATCAGGGACGTACTGTGCCGCGGGGCTGTTATTGAGCTGACTGTTGCTGCCGCTGATGGACACAGAGTCGACTCTCTCTGTGCAGCTCAGAGACACCGAGCGGTTCAGACCACTCACGTGAGAAGGGGAGCGAAACTCTGCAACGCACAGGAAAACCGTCACTTCAAGTCACGGCACGCCTGCTGACAAACACTCACACAGATGAAACCGAGTCAAGGAGTCCATCAAATACACACAAATGCATAAAATGAAAAAAAACAACACATCATTGATGAGAGGGACAGCATGACAATAACCAAGGAGCAAAAAACAACTCATAATCACATTTGAAATGAATGGAAAGATTATTGCAAATGATTGGATGGTCATTTCAGACGTGCATATGTGTGTGTGGACAGCATTAGTTTGGTTACACCGGAGAAGCATAGATTATAATATAGTGTACTATTCATTATTATAATATTAGTATGTGACTATAAAGAGTAGATGATGTACATATAAAAACCTCTATTACTTAAAATACTGTTCACCCAAAACCACGTGTAATGTTAATACTCTAGCGCCTTCTGCAGGTGCTTTCATGAACTGCAACAGTCACTGCAGGCTTGTGCTTGGGATTTGACCGGTTTTACTGCGACTGTGTCAAACAATAAATGAATGCTGACTGATGCGGACAAAAACGCACAGCTGACTCAGAAGCACGTGGTTACTGATACAAGCACGGGAGATTTTTCTCTGTTGGTTGAAATGCTATGTTTACGCTGCGAGCGACGCATTGTGATGAACTAGAATCCTCCGGTTATAAACAGTGAAATCATTTACACTGCAAAACATGCAAAGTGTGTTGATAACGGAAGTGATCTAGTATTTTCATGTCGCTCGCGTGCTCTCAGTGTAGTTGTTTAGTCAGTAACGGTAACTATAGCGAACGTGATTAAAATGCATAAGAGTTGCTGACGAAACCAATCAATCATCACAGCGATATCAGATAATTTCGATGATATCGGAAAATTGCCTTAGTATTTGACTATACTACATTGCACTTATGTCAAAAGCGTACAAAAATGGACAGGTTGGTGAAAATATCTTACAAAATTTGAATTCAAATTACCGCAAAATGGACAACACGTCACTTTATGTAATTAATATTCATGACGCAAACCGTGCCTAACCGTTTCCTGAGAACAAACCATAAAAGAAAACAAAAGTGAATTTTTATATCTGTTTGTAAATATGTTTTAGCCCCAGACGTTTCTGAAACGTTTATGTTTTGGTAATTTTGAGCGTTTTAGTCGTTTTAATTGTCTATTTACTTTTTATTAATTATTTCAGTTTTAATCATTTTCCTATAAACTGAATTAGACAAAAAAATAATAATTGTAACTAAGTTTATAATCCCTCTTCTTTGTCTGTTAACATTTATGCCAATAATCATTTAGTATTTTTTAATATTTTGAATTTTAGGGTTAATGATAATGAAGTTAATGATAACAACACTACACTGCAAGTAATTAACACTTAAGCATATTTAGTCTGATTGATAATGTATAATTATAGTAATAACATTTATATTGCATTTTTTTCATTCAAACAACAACGCTCCTGTTTCATCAAGACATCACAAACGCATAGCCTCACAAAGCTCATGGCACGTTTTCTAGTATATTCTGATACTAAGGCAAGTCAGAATGCAGCAGGACTGAATCTTCAGGGTGGTGTGAATGTTGTGTTCAGTTGCAGGAGGTCAGGTGTGATGGACAGCAGGGTGAGTGTGTTAGTGGTTAGAGTAGAAGAGCTCTTCAAGACTGAGCTCAAGAGGACAACGCCAGAGCCAACCAGTCCAGCAAGCTTCCATTTTACTAACATTGTCATTAAAATCTTTTAATATATGTCATATGCCACATCACTCATAAGCTATCGCTCACAGTTGATTTCAATAGAAAGCTAATATCTCAAAACTAACACAAATACATAGACAAATCTGTGATGAAAGTGCATTTTTTAAGATCAAACTGTATTCTACTTTTTAGTACTGAATAAATATTTCCTAATAAACAGAAAAAATACACTTTGCATGTGCATTTTAATTAGATTGAATTATTTTCTATCAATATTTTATGCAGTAATAAAATTTATTTTTATAGATACAATGCTTAAAATGTGCTGTATAGGTTTTGAAACAGCTTTTAAATCACTAAATAAAATAAATTGCGATTTTGCATTATTTTTGTAACTTAAAAGAACCATAAAAGTTATATTCTATAGCCATATGCTATATTTTAGCTCTTCTGAATGCAAACAATAATTTTGTGTGAGGGAAAATAATGGCATTATTTACCAAAAATGGTCTGCTATAGCGCTTTAAGTCTTATTTATGCTCACACATATTCAAACCTGGTGTCTCAAGACTAGTTGTGTTAACTTTGAAATCAACAATGTCAAACATTTTTGGTTTTTTGAATGTTTTGAATGAACGCAAGCACAAATTTTATTAGAAAATACGGAATATTTCCTAAAAATACATTTTGGAACATTTGGAACCATTTTCTATTGATATTCTATGCAGCACTTAAATGTATTTTTATTACAATAAATGCCTAAAATTGCTGTCTAGGCTTTAGAACAGCTTTTAAATCACTGTAAATAAATAGATAAAATGTGAACTTGCTGGACAACGGGTCATAGCATGATAAAGGTTATTTTTTCATTTTAAACTAGCTTCTGTCCCACACCACCCCATGTTAGCTACCCCTACATCCCTGAGTTAGCACCCAGCATGCAGGGCATTTTACCTGGGAAATGCGAGAACAGAGAAAACCTCTTAAGCGAAAGGCGGCGCGGACAAGGCGACACCACAGAAGGAGAAAGAGGGGGGGTGACAGCTGAGGAGGAGGGGGAGAGCCAGAGCAGAGCAGAGGAGAGGAGAGACAGAGAAGCTCTTTAAACACGCCACACATCAACATCCTGCCCAGAGCTGCTTCAGCATCAGCAGCCGCTGAAGGTACAAATCCCTCATTATAGGACACTACGGGAACATCATATTTTCTTTGAAGGGGTAATGCTATGCTACTAACCTTGCCTTTGAATGTAAAACATATTTTGGTGACGTTAAAAGCATATTTCACCTAAAAATTGTCATTATCACTCCAAACCTGTATGACTTTCTTCCTTCAGTGGTACCTAAAATGTAGATATTTTGCAGAATGTCCAAGCTGTTCTTTTCCATACAAGGAAAGTGGACTTCACATTGCCACCAGGCTTCAAAAATGAATAAAAAGCATGGTAAAAGTGGCCCATATGCTATACTTGAATCAAACCCATAATTTTGAGTAAAAGACCAAAAATTATGTCATTATTCAACAACGGGCTGAATTAGTTCATTCTAATTCCAAAACCAAATGAAATGATTAATTGAAAAAATCTGATTCAAAAGAATGAACGTTTTAGGAATTCAGCATCTCCACTTCTCTGCCAAGGAAAGCATGTCATCATTTTCAGTGAATAACAATATTTTAGCAGTTTTCTCACACTTATATAGTGATATTTGCATCATTTTTGTAATCTTAAAGCACTAAAAAGTAGCATAAAGTACCTTCAGCTCTTCTGGATGCAAGTAATAATTTTGTGTGAGGAAAAAACAAAAATTAAGTCATTATTCAATTAAAAATGATCTGCCATAGCTCTCAAATCTCATTTACACTCGCACACATTCAAACCTGCTGCCTCAAGATCAGTGTGAAGTCAGCATCAAATATTGTTGGTTTATACTCGGCTAATTACATCAATCAATCAATTTTATTTTGTGAAATAATGTTCAATTATTCAATGGAAAATTGTCTGTTGTAGCTCTCAAATCTCATTTACACTTGCAAACATTCATATTTGTGCTAACTGTTTTTGTCAAAAACGTAACATTTTGTTGGTTCGTATTTGGCTAATTGCATCAAATTTGAATGTAGGGATGTGCAATTCTGACAAAAAAATGATATCTCGATTTTTATTGGGATTTTTTTTTATAACGATAACTAAATGATATTTTGCTGAGTGTGTTTTGTGCTGGTATCTTGGCTGGTTTAGGCCTGTCATGGATAAATAAAAATGACACTACTGCCAGCAGGTGGCAGAAAGTCCCTGTCTTCACTGAATCATTCATTCAAATCATTCATTCAAAACAGCCGATTCATTTAGAAATTAAGCAAGCGGCTGTCTTTAAGAATGGGTTTTTGAATCATGGACTTCAAAAACAGATTCATTCAATGAAACACCGCAGTGTTGCTCTGAGACGCAAAAATTGATGCTTCGGTTTTGTTTGTAACTATTTCATTGGCGAAAATATTACGTCTAAAATGTAAAAAACAGCCGATTCATTTAGAAATGAAGCAAGCGGCTGTCTTTAAGAATGGGTTTTTGAATCATGGACTTCAAAAACAGATTCATTCATGAATGAAACACCGCAGTGTTGCTCTGAGACGCAAAAATTGATGCTTCGGTTTTGTTTGTAACTATTTCATTGGCGAAAATATTACGTCTAAAATGTAACTCACTCAATATTAACTTGATGTTTGTTGAACTGTTGTTTTAAGATAATATCACATTCGCGACCACGTTCTTTAAGAAAACGGCACTGTTTTGATGTGATATTTTGTGATATTTTGGCTTGTGTGATATTACTTAACTATGTAAATATAAAAAAAAACATATAGGGATATTTTTACTTTCATAACTTGAATTACAGGGATATTTTAAAGGCATTCTAATAAGCTTCATCACACATTTAGGCTTTTGGACTTTCAAGATGCGTTTTGTTTATTTTTTGCAAAATGAATGACATACTCGATAATGTCAGCTCGCATATTGTTAAAACAACAATTACGATATCGCAGACGATAAATAAATAAATGCATAAATGCAAAATAAATGCAAGCTTTGATTTGGAAGCTAATTTTAGATTTGTTCGTTGCAAACAAACAAACAAACAAACAAAAAACTATTAACTGGTTTCAGAAGACTTGGAATTTACAGACGTTTATAGTGGGTTTTTTTTTTAACGTGCGAATTAATCCCCATCCATTAGCAATGTGTGGAAAAAAGCAGCTTGGACATTCTGCCAAGCATCTCCTTTTGGGTTTCAAGATACAAGCTTTAGAAGGACATGAGTAAAGGCCAGCTGATCGGTCACACGAACCCTAGTCTCTTACGCAGTGTTTCTCAAAGCACACGTAGCCACACATTTAGACACATGCTAAGCACATAAATGTGACGTTTGGCACACGGATGGACTGCGGCACAGCTGGAGGTGAAGAACAGAATCAGACAGCATCAGTACACAGTGACGCTCGGCCAGCAGATGTCCCTGCAGTCAAATGTGTCCCGTTTAGCGCCCTACCGGCAGCCCCAGTGTTATTATATAATACAGAAGACTACACTTACAATGACAGATCATGACAAAGTGCACTGGGAGACGCTAAAAAAAAAACATGGCGCTGACAAGATCCATCACTTAAACTAAGGCTGGGCAGCAAACATATCAACAGACACATCATTGTTACCATAAATCAACCCGTTTCAGAAAATAGATCATTCATAAATCATATGATCAATTCTATCAGCATTTACTGTGCCGGTTGCTCTTTTTCATGCAATTATAATGACTGAGAAGCTTTCTAGCCTCCATAAAAAGAAGACACACGGGTGAGTAAATGATGGCAGAATTGTAATTTTTGGGTGGACTGGCCCTTTGAATTAACTATTCCTTTAGGTGGGATTGTTTCACACTCTTTGATTAGAGCAAATAAGAGTTAAAAACGCAAGGTAAAACACTCACCCAGGCATGGTGCAGTCAGTGCCATGACTCCATAATAAGAGAAAGGACCCGTCTCAAACTTCATATTCTCATTTCCAGCCTCAACTTCCACCCGACCCTGAAAGACAGGCGTGAGTTCATTCGTTTCATTAGTTACAAAAGTCAACTGTGCAGGACATTTTGTTGAATATATTTTAAATAATTTGGAAACAATCATTAAGACAACAACCTAAATGAGAACTGCTTAATAAATCAAATCAAAATGTATCACTGGCAATAAAACCTTTGTGGCTTTGCGTGTTGTCCTTCAAGATACTGAAACCTAAAGCACTCAAGTTCTTAACTGAACCACATTTTTAAAAACACTTACAAAACATTTAAGTCAAACGCATCTAATTTTGAAATCTTAACGTGTTTCCTTGAAGAACAACCAGTTGCGTCTCCATAATTAAAGACGAATGACACAAAACCCAACCGAAACTCCCACAAGGAGTGCGAGGTCAGTACTTTTAGTAGTCGTGTGTCACACCACATTTGAGCGTACACACAAATTTTCCAATGTCTCAGGCATCATATTTGCCCCATTTTCCGTCCCAATGGAGAGTCAGCCTTTCCTCTCATTCTCAGAAAAAGGTAACCGGATCTGCGGCGCTCGGATTGCACGACACACAGATCCTGTCACTCTATCTGGGTCTCCTCTGCTCTGGGGTCTATATTCAGGTAGACACTCCAAACACAAACAAAGCTCGCCAACACTTTGCTGCTTTCTGTTACGCCAGCAAACCAGAGCCAAATCGAGTTTCATAAAACAAAACAAACGGAGTTAAAACAGTGTTGACACTGTTTTTTTGTATACTAGAGTAAAATTTATTGACTTAACTACTACTATTAAATAAATCTTTACATTCATGAAAAACTAACTTATAAAAAATTATATATATATACTACTGTTCAAAATTGGCGTCAGTACGATTTATTTATTTATTTAACGAAATTGACACTTTTATTCAGTGTGGATAGTAGACATTTATAATATTACAAAAGATCTCTATTTCAAATAAATGCTGTTCTTTAAAAAAAATGATGGTTTCCACAAAAATATTAAGCAGCAAAACTGTTTCCAGCATTGATAATAATAAAAAATGTGGAATGATCATTCATCAATTACTAAAACTTAAATAACTTACTTTTTTTTTTTTGTTGCTAAAACCAGAAGCCAAAACAACATTAAATTACTAAAATATTAAATATTAATATATTTGTTCAGTGAATACATTTACAATATTTAAAAGTATAAATATGTATTTTCTAATAATTTTAAATGTATTATTATTAATTTATTTATTTTAGTCATTTGTAAAAGTATAAATAATTATTTATTTTTTATTTTAATAATTTGTAAAAGTATAAATATATCAATTTATTTTCTAGTAATTTTATTAAATATACTTAATTAGAAGAAATTACAAAAATAATTTAAATATTAAACAAACAAAACAATACACTATTAGTTAATCATTCATTTGATAAAGGCCTTTGCTAGTTACCTAATGATTATGTTAGTTGAACCTTACTGTAAAGTGATATTAACAAGTCAAAAACAATCAATTACTAAAACATATTTATTAAATATATTAATATATTTATTCAATACATTGAATATACTGAAAAAAGTATACAAAAACAAAATATATATTTAATACATATTTAAATGAAAGTCTACGAAATTATCAAATAAAGTTAAACATAAAACAAACAAAATACAATACACCATTGTTGTTATTTTGAAAATTCTGTTTAAATGATACATTTGAAATAGTTTTAAAACCCATTCAAATAGAGGGAGATTCAATCTGGAAATTAGCAGATGTAAATGAGTAAATTTAAGCAGACATGCGGTTTGATGGCCAGCGTGACGTAACGTTCCTGGACACATGGCGTTTGTGCTCCGCGGGGATGATTACATCTGCGCTAAATACACTCTCACACTGGCTTTCAGAAAGGGTTAACCTTGTCCTGGCTGACCCCCCGCCGAGCACACAGCAAATCCAGGATGTGATTTACTGATCCCCGGGGGCCCGAGTGCCACGTCGGCCCTGTGACCTGTCACAGCTCGTTCTACCTTGACCATCGTCAATCTTACGCCACGTTAAGTAAGCTGCCGCACATATATTCAATTCAGATGACTGGAAAGTATGCGGGAGGTTAAAGGTCACGCTATTGTGTTGATCCCTGTACGAGTTCAAATACAAGTCAATATCTATATATGTATCATCTGCTTGCTGTAGCGTGGACATCCAAGAGTCTTTCCATCAATCTCGCCTCTGATTGGACTGTTTCGCCAAAACAAGGGCACGGACATTGCACAGCTTTGATTGGTTGTGTATTCAATTGTGAGTGAGAGTGTGTTTGTGTGTGTGTTGCTGGCAGAAAGGGGGTGGGATTAGAGCTGCTATGCTCAGGATCCCTTTCTTACGTAAGAGAGATCAATTAGTGAAGGGCAGGCCTGTCCGATGCAGGGCCTCTTCTAGCTAAACCTACAGTGAGGTCACAGACGCTCCCAACAGACCCGTCTGTGCAACTCTACACCAGGACACGGCACCAACGAGCCGCCAATCTCAAAATACACCACTAAAAAAGCTTGAAAATGTTAACCAGCGGTACATGCTAAGGAAAGATTCGCTATTACTAATGCTCAAACTTCATATCTCTAGTCCTAAGCGTTAAAACTCTGTATGTGATTCTGTGCCACTTGTGCTACAGTCTCAAAAAAAAA